TGGATATACTGCCAAATTCTCTGAAACGTCTTTGGAGATGGCTTATGGTAGAAAAATGAACATTCAATTCACGGGCAACAGCTCTGGTGGACATTCCTGCAGTCAGCATGCCAATTGCACGCTCCCTCAAAACTTGCGACATCTGTGGCATTGTGCTGTGTGATAAAACTGCACATTTTAGAGTGGCCTTTTATTGTGGCCAGCCTAAGGCACACCTGTGTAATAATCATGCTGTCTAATCAGCATCTTGATATGCCACACCTGTGAGGTGGATGGATTATCTCGGCAAAGGAGAAGTGCTCACTAACACAGATTTAGACAGATTTGTGAACAATATTTGAGAGAAATAGGCCTTTTGTGTACATAGAAAAAGTCTTAGATCTTTGAGTTCAGCTCATGAAAAATGGGGGCAAAAAACATAAGTTTTGCGTTTATTATTTTGTTCAGTGTAAATATCATTGATATACTATTGCAGTTTTTTTGTTATTATTTGTCTATTATTTTTATTTTAATTTTAGTTAAAGTTTTTGTAATCTTGTTTTTTTTAGTTTGTTTATTTAATTTTAGTATTTTTTTTTTACTTTAACAGTTTAACAGTTTTAAACGTCAATGAGAAATGTTGCCTTGGAAACTAGCTAAAAAAAGTTATTTTATTTCATGTTTTTTTTTTTCTAGTCATTTTTATTTATTTATTTATTTAATGGTTTTAGTTAACAAACATAACCCTGTTTATTGGTTGCAGGAGTCCACCACAGGACATAACTGCATCTGATTGTATCCATAACAGTGGCATATATCGTGCTTGGAATACTAATGTACTATTGTCTACATACTTCACATTATAGGCATACTATTAAAAAATATCCATAGTTTATAGTGGTTCACGTACTGTTTTTCTAAATGGTATGATAAAATGTAATTTATTCCTGTGTATTCCAGTCCTCAGTGTCACATGATTCTTCAGAAATCATTCTAATATGCTGATTTGTTGCTCAAGAAGCATTTCTTACTTTTACGAATGTTACAGTCAATATTTAATGTTTTTAAGTTTTATATTGATATTTAATATTAATATCTTTGTGAAAATCTTGATACTTTTTTTTCAGGACAAAGAACAGCATGTATTTGAAATCAAAATCTTTTGTAACATTATAAATGTTTTTACTGTCATATTTAATCAGTTTAATGCATCCTTGCTGAATAAAATGATTCATCCAAGCATATAGCCCATGCCATTTTGTCCCATTCCTGTTTAACTCATATTGCTGTTTGACTGTTGTCTCAGGGTAAGTTTTAATTATCCAGTTTGGAGCTACGGGCTTGTTGACCCTGAAGAGCTGATGAGAATCAAGAGAAGGCAAGTTCAACCTCAGCAGCCCAGACCGTCCAACACTTTCAGAATACTACAAGAGAGACTAGAACGTGTCTGTTGTATTCATTTTTAAAAATTAAATTTCAGTTTCAGTTATATTAGTACACCAAGTTAAACCAAATTAAATGGGAAATTTGCCTTGCCAACTAGCTTTTAATGGTATAATAGCATGGTCATGTTTTTTAACGATGCTCATAAAAATGCAATTGCTCCAAAACTTTTATAATAGTTGCAAACATATAATTCATCTAAAAATTCTTATTTTACTCTATACAGTACAAAAGGAGAAATTATCTCTCTAATCAGTGAAAGTGGATGGTGACCAGGATTATTAGAAGCGCCATAAAAGCATAATAAACAGTCCTGAAATCTTCTGATAGCTTTATGTGAAGAACACACTGAAATTTAAGTCATATTTAATAAAAATCCTGCCTTAAAGTGACAGTCCACCCAAAAATCATTTACGCATCACGGCATGTAACTTACTTTCTTCAATGGAACACAAATGAAGATATTTTAAAGAATGTTGGTAACTAAACGGTGTTGGTTCCCATTGACTTTCATAGTATTTTTTGTCCATACTATGGAAGTCAGTTGTTCCCGGAACCATTTTTGTTACCAACATTCTTCAAAATATCTTCTGCAGAATGACATGAGGGTGAGTAAATGATGACAGAATTTAGTTTTTGGCAGTATTATTTCTTTCTGCACGTGTTGTTAGTCCTCTCTAGAGGGCAGTATTTTCTCATGTTTCACTAGTGCATTGCAATAATTGAATACCTGTATTTTCTGACTTTTAGCTGTTAGCTGTATGATGAAATTATGCTTTCAGTTAATGTCTGGCATCTTTGTGAAAGAGATGACATCACTAGAATGTGTCCCACAGCTATAACACAGAAAAAAAAGAGTATTCCATTACGTACTGTAGATGCCTTTTTTATTATTTTACTGCTGTGGCATGAATAGAAATTGACCTCAGTAGCGTGCAGTCTGACCTAATTGTATTATGTAAAGGAATACAGTGATAGAGAGTTGTTAAAGGGATGTGTCCTGTTGACTTCCACTCCCCATGCAGAACTATGAAGGCCCTGAATGACAGGTTTCAGGAACAATACAAACACGCATTAACCTCATGAAGGAACGTGGTGTTTGTTCATGTCATGTTTATTATTAAAACCTTAAATGACAATGGAGATTCATCAGTAATGAATGATGGTGACTGTGTTAATACCTGGTGTTTTATTTACCCAACTGTGGAAAAACAACAGATTAATGTACAGTTATGATTTATTAAACAAGTCAAATAGATTTTTCTATTGCACTTTATACAATAGAGATGGTTTCAAAGCAGATCCACAGAAATGACTTCAATTTCAGCTGTAAAGCAGCTCTATGGAAGACAGTGCTATTGTTTTTGTCTAATCAGCCTCTATTTTAGGTCATTATACATATTTTTTTTATAAAATGGGTGGTAGTGTTTGTTTCAGTATCTTAAATTCCCTCTTTCTGTTGGTTTGCTTTATATATCAGAGTGACGACTGTGTCATTTGCAGAAATGCCATCACAGTCTTTCTTTTTTAGATTTAAAACTCTTTTGCAATAAGAAGACAAATGTGTGTTCCCTTTTTTCAAGAATATTTAGAACTGGTCACTGCCAGCATGACAATTGAGTATAATTGTAGCTTTGTGCCACAGAGCTACAGTTCTCTAATGTCTAAATTTAGTCATGGGACATCTCTATCCAATTGTCAGAATTGAAAGGAGCATTATAGAATTGCTATTATAATTATTTAAAAAATACAATTGTCACTATGCACTCATTGTGTGAGTTTTTTCATAAAACTTTTATGGGTCCCAAACACTAATGAGTTATCTGTGCGGGATATTAATATTGATTTATTTATGCTAACAACAATATATGAGTTAGCAGCATTAGTCAGGGTTTAATTTAGAATTTAGGCCTTATGTCAATAATATATATATATATATATATATATATATATATATATACGCGCAAAGATTGTTTCCCGGCATTGCTATTTATTTATGCTAACAACAATATATTAGTTAGCAGCATTAGTCAGGGTTTAATTTAGAATTTAGGCCTTATGTCAATAATATATATATATATATGTGTGTGTGTGTGTGTGTGTGCGCGCAAAGATTGTTTCCCGGCATTGCGTTATTTCTGTTCGTTGCGTTACAGCAGGCCACGCCCACGCGCCGTTGCAGTAGTGACTGTTGGCGTGGCTTTAGAGTGACGCTCACTTGTTGCTTCTCTCGATGAGGTGAAACTTTTCCAGAGAAACATTCACGGGCCTTTGGTTTTGACACATTGAAACTTCTCGCTGGGCAGGACAACTCGCGCCTCCTGTTGACTTTTCAGTCCTAACTGAGACGGGTTGGGTTTTCACAGAAATGTCTCTGGCAGAGCAAAGCCAGCAGTGGTTTCCCAGCAGCGTGCAGGTAACGGTGCTCCAGGCGAGGGGTTTGCGGATCAAAGGGAAGAATGGCACTAACGACGCGTACGCCATCATGCAGGTAGCCAAGGATAAGTTCTCCACCTCGGTGGCGGAGAAGAGCGTCGCGCCGGTGTGGAAAGAGGAGGCCGCGTTCGACCTGCCGCTCTTTCACCTCAGTAACGCGGAGCGCTGCACCCTACAGGTGTGTGTGATGCACCGGGCTCTGATGGGACCCGATAAAATGCTCGGACAGGCGACCATCAACCTCCTGGAACTCCAAGACAATAAATCCCGTAATAAAACAGAGTGAGTGAACATTATGTATTATATATATATATATATATATATATATGCATTTATTTATATATGCATTTATTTATATATGCATTTAGGCCCTTCTCGAGTGCATCTGACTTTTCTCAGCTTCTTATAAGCGTTTGGACACTTCAACAAGAATACTTCTGTGTTGAAAGATGGCATCAAACCTTCCTTATGTGGAAATAATGAACTGAGCTTTTAATGTTCTTGGATTTGCTCATGGTAGACCGAAAGGACCAGGGGGGTATTTTTTCCCTCAACCAGAGATGTCACAGACCTCCACAAATGACTCAGTATTGAGTTTTTACAGGAGATGTTTTCTTAAGGATCAGATTCCCAGTGGAATGCGGAGGCAATTGTAATAAGAGAAAACAAAAACAAAAAAATCGCTTGGACCGGTTTAAATTCCTCTTTTCCTCTATCTTATTTTAATGAAATTCCATTAGCATTCCTTTGGAATGTTTGTTAAAGGTCAGTGCAAATCTGTTTGACTGGATCAGGTGGTTATTCTATCACTGTAATCCAGGGCCGCACGGTCTACATTATGCACAGACTTCATGAATAAATTAGTTTAGCTCTAGACATCATTGTAACATCAGTCACGGTAAGCAAAGTGTTTTTGACTGCAATTTACAAAGTATCACATAAATCCATCACAGCATTCTGACCTTGGATTTGAAGAGCTTGTGTTTCTTCACCTGCTCTCTGAATGACTTCCATTGTTTGCTTGTAAATGCTCAAAGCTTTTGATTAGAACCTGCCTGGTCATTTTCATTTCAAGACCTAATTCAGTCTCATGCACAAAGGCAGCCAGCGCTTGTCTGGCCTTCTGCCGAATAATTATTTTGCTCTATAAGTTTAGCTCTATTGAACTCAGAACATTGTTTTAATTTCCATGGAGCTGATTCGTTCTTTCTGCCTAGATGAATCAGAAGACTTGAATTACTTCCTGTTCTTCTCATTGTCGTCAGTTTCACTGATCTTCAGTATTTTCTAATCTAGTGTTCCCAGAACTAGTTCCTGGTTTTTCTTTTACTGTAACCGATTGAAATTGTAATTTTTCTAAAAAATAAAGTGTATGGCTTGTAATTAATAATATTTCGTGTTACAGCGTTGCTTAGTGAAGTTCAAAAGTTCAGGGTCACAGTGAGTAGAAAAAGAATAAATTAATACTTTTATTAAGCAAAAGTGCATTAAATTGATCGAAAAGGACAGTTAAGACATTAGTGATATTATTAAAAAAATCTATTTCAAATAAATGCTGTTCTTTCTCTATTCATCAAAGAATCCTGAAACATAATATACGAAGCACAACAGTTTTCAACTGTGATAGTAATAAATGTGCACATTTTTTCTTACACTCAAGTTTCCCCTGTTATATTGTGCAGTCATTTAAACAAAACAGTATTTTGGAGAAGGTTAAATATCTAATGTCCCTTTTCTGGCGTCTGATTGCTCTGTTTGTGCCCCAGTTCTCTCTCAGGCTTTGACGTACGTGACATGCGTTGCCTGAAAGCTCAGTTTCTCTTAGCATGGCATAAAGTCAAGGCTTGTCAACTGCTTCAGACTTCAAAGTCGAGAAAACACTTTCTCACTCTCATTCACACATATAGAGGATGCTTCAGAGGATGTGCCTTAAATATGTTAAACGCCTCATGCTAATACAGAAGGCATCAGCCGTTTGATTCTGCGTGACCTCATGCTGACACGTTATCAGCACACAGGAGCTCTTTCCTGATTCGAGGCATAATGGGAGCACGTCACCTGTCTGCTCCGACCGTCACCTAACAAAGTTGACATTGTTTGCATAGTGTTAAATTCAACGTCTTTTATATCAACAGAAATAATTCAATATTATGTGAACTTGGATATTGAATCCTTCATGTTATCAAAAGTAATGTTTTGCCAGTTGGAAGTATTAACACAATTCCATGTTGTATGTCACATGATAGAACTGTGTCCAATTATCTAAGCTTCATACATATTTTGTTGAATATCTTACAGCAAGTGAATTGAAACTCTATATTGTTGAGCTTAGGCAAGGTTCCTGCACTGCTGCATGTGATAAAACAGTCCTGTCACATAACGCACTTATCAGTGTACTGGCACATGCAGGAAGTCATGCTGCTGAGAGACACACTGGAACAATTAAACATCCAGTGCTGATTCATCTGATGCTGCCTTCACTTCCTGTCAGGGCACAGCTGTTGTTGAGGATCTTTCAAGGCGAAACAGATGAGTTTGTCAAGAACTTTGCTTATTAAAGGGTTAGTTCACCCAAAAATGAAAATTAGACTGTGTTTTACTCACCCTCGAAGCATCCTAGGTGTATTTGATTTTCTTCTTTCAGACGAATCCAGTCGGAGTTATGTTAAAAATTGTCCTGGCTATTCCAAGCTCTATCATTAGGCCCTTTCGCACCGCTTTAGTTCCAGAACTAAACGCACGGTACTAAAGTACTGGGACGATTTTGCGCGGACTATTTTCCAGTACCATTTAAAGGGTTGCATTCGCACTGAGAGTATGTACTAAGAAGTGACGTAAGGCGGTCGACAGCGACGTCATTTGTGCGCGGCGTTCAACAACAGAAACAAAGAACTACATTAACAACAGGAGGATGGAGGACGCTGTGATCGGAGCTGTGTTTTGTTGTGTCTCGCGGGTTTCACAGTGGACATGGAAAGTCGACGTATACGTAAAGCGATTGAAAGAACGGAAAGGAGGACTAAGAATCTCCAACGACAACTGGCAGTGCTACATTTGATACAAGTGCCTGCACTTCAGCGTCCGTCCATCTATCGCTGTTCTCCGTACTTGCGAAATAAGTTGACACTATGTTTACACAGCGTTTTAAATCATGGCGGGTGAGGGCGTTTTTGTACGCGTTTGGCCAATCAATGTCTACTTACATCACGATTAGTACCAGTTGTGCTGGTTAGACCCTGCTCCGGAGTAGGAGCTAATTTGGTTCTTGAAAAAGGCAGTCCGGTACTAAAATCGCTCCCAGTTCCGGCGGTGTGAACACGCCGAAAAGTGGGTAGTTCCCCAATTAGTTCTGGTACTATGAAAAGGTTCCTG